GTAATTCAGTTGATAAAGCCAAAGAGTCCTGTAAAGTCTAACTGAGAGCTCGCAGTGGTGGCCTGCGTCAACACTTCGCAGTGACTTTGAACAGTGGTTTTTTCTCCAGCCATGTACGTTGGATCGATGACGTCCTTCGTGACTGAAGACTGTACCTTTGAATCCGTTCCATTGGCTATAGATTACGAACCACTCTGCGGCCCCAGATTTCAATTAGGTGGATGCTCCGTTTCGAAATTCCCTGTCAGTTCTACTTATGTATGCTTTACGGAAAATGCAGACGAACCGATACATACAATGAATTAGATGTGAGGATATGGTGACCGGTAACGGCAGTTTCCCCATGTAAGCTATCATATGTACGTGAGCAGAGTCAAAAGTGCTTCTTAGGGCATTTTAATTAGTGTTTTTAATTGGTTGCTTTGTCGCAGACATACGCAACTTCAAGATAAACGAATTCACTAAGTACCTAGCGTCGTCCGACTCTCGGTCACGCTCAATGAATCGATTCGGGATAATAATCTCAACTGAAGATCCAGAGCATCCGGAATATGAACTTTCAGGCCTTACAGCTAACCACTGATAAGACAGCGTGTATAATAAATAGGCTGGAAACCTGTGGAGTGCAGGATACTTATTCCTTCAAATAGACTCCTGGTACTTTGACTAGGCTATCCTAAGTTCCGTACAATTGGGAACCCGGGAGAGGTATTTGACAGTCCTATTCATATTCACATATAGTGACAATGACCTGGCGGAATGAGGTCAACAGAGTAAGAAGGCGAATAGTAAAATGCTATCCAAGAATCGTCTGTATAAATGTAGTTTTCAATTCCACTCTCTGTGTACAGGTCATCCTTGGCCAATTTCCGTAGTAGAGTTCTTCCGATGAAGAATCTATTAATTTGTTTGCAACTCTCACCTTAAAGCTAAAACTTAGCACCCTCCGTACACTTCTTGCCAAACTTATTCAGAATCTGGATAGCTAGGGCAATGAAATTGCAGTGTTGAGCCTATTGCCGGCTTCCATTATTATGTTGGTCTCATTATTGCTTATGTAAGTCTGTAAAGCATTCATCTGATTTTGGTTGAGTCTGCACTTCTTAGACACTACTAAAGCTCCATTATTCATTCTCATTGACAGTCTGTTGAAGAAAACGTCAATCTGTCGGTGATATTCGCTTTCCCAAAGTGGAAAAATTTCAGCTGAGTCAGACAATAAAACAGTGTCCACTTCAACCAGTCAAACGATTACACTTTATTCGTGTTCGGTCAGTAATGTAGGCCACCATGTGTCAAACATTTTCAAAGACTAAATGTCTTATGACAATAAGTCCAATTAGATCTTCTTTGGAAAAGCTTTGAAAAACTTATGAAAGACAGTTGGAATATGCTTCAGTCTTTCAACTATATCAACGTAATCGTAACTCGATAATTCAAAACATATGGTGAATAATGAAAACCCTAGGTGTTAGCCTCAGATGCACACTCTTGAAGTGTCCAGCTAATGTGTACACCACATGTTTTTGAAACGAATAAGATCAGCTTAGGAACAAACGAAAGCCCTATAATGCAATTTGCTCGACCATGTAAGGAACTAAAAATTCCGTGGGCAGATTGATAACAACCAACCACTATATCCAAGAAACGTGCCTTTGATGACCACTTGGTAGCTATGGGATTGCTGTTGTTTAGCCTGGAACAATGCACGACGTGTTCTATTCAATCTAATAGTCGAAAATTAACCTCGCGCCATTCCGCGCATTCGAACATGGTAGCCATGTCTCATGCATCTGCGATTATCACGAATAGACTGGTTCTTTCGTGGTGCAACAAATTGCGTAGCATTGAGATGCACTCGATAACTCCTAAGCAGCATCCACAAAGTGTCCTGTATCAGGCTGGTCACTGTATGTGGATCTCACAAAAACAGTCTCCTGGCTATTTAGCTTCGGGATTCGGGGAGGTAGTTTGTTCCTTAAGACTTAGAATACTCGATGACTGTCATGCTGACCACCACTGCCTTGCGGTCAAGCTTATCAGCCAGGTGCTTTGGTTGAGAACTGTAGTCACCCTCCTCCCTAAGTCCAGTTACCCCGAATATGCCTGAACCCACACAGAACCATAAACACTATATGTAAAAGTGCCCCCCTGCCACACCGACCGTCACATGTTGACATTAGTCGGGTCACCTAATTGACTGAATAAAGTAGGGCGGATAAAAAACGTGCGACTACCTCCTATCCTCCTATCTTTCTTTTTGGTTATCCCTCAGCTCTTGTCCTGTCTCACTCGACAGTCAGTTTACGTAGACCGCTTTTTGGGGATTTCAGTCGGACACCCACAGACCTGACACATTGAACGCCACCGACCACAGTTACCTCTCAGAGACTTTATTCAGGTCTGTTACTCCTGTTTTTGCGATCTTTAATGTGAGAATTCTTGGACACAATCTGCTCTTGTGCTTACTGTAGCTACTCTTACAACTGACGTCATTGGCACCTCCGAAACTCGAATAGAGGACTCAAGTACAGCTGTTGAGCTTACGCCACCTTCTCTATCTCAACACCGCTGTCTACGACCTACGAGTGATCCACGGGCCGCTGCGGTGCGATGCGCTGGTGTTGATACGCTCTAAGTTCATGACCTGATGAACTGACTGAATTGATGGACTGGATACTTGCAAACAGCCGACTCCGATAAAAAACGCACAAAGGTCTAAATACTGGGTGCTGTTTGTTTACCGTCTCCATTAATGCACGAACGAACGGACGCCTGGATTCACGGAAAGACACCTCTTGTCCAGCACGAAGAACCGTGATATAGCAGCAGTACCAGGAGCACAGGTAGGACGCCTCAGTTTGCCAGAAGCAAGCCCTTATATATATATATATAACTAGACGATCCCTATTTTTGTACGGCAGTCAAGCACCAGTGCCGATACTGATGTCGTTGTCTCTGATGATGATGATGACGGTGATGATGATGTTGGAGATTAGGCGATAGCCTAAACGTAGCCCACGTCGACGGACAGGCGTAGCGGAAGTAGATATTTGAATATACAAGGAACAGTATGGCTGTGAAGCATGGAAGCTGTTTCTGACAGCCCATTGCAGCATCATAAACGAATTCTGAAAAAGGTGGATGGTTATTTATACCAGAGAACTGTAAGAGCTATCTTACCTAATGTTTGTGAGACTTGTTCCTCCGCCCCCAATCTGTGGACATTGAAAGTCTTCAAGCTTTTGGGCATAGCAACAGTAAGGTAGCTGTAGAGATTACTCAGCGAATCGGTGCGTAAGCAGGTACCGAATCAAGGCATTTAGAACAACAGTCTAGATTGGCCAGGTTAATGTTATCGGATCAAGTATTACATATGCCCAACCACCGTCTACCCAAGAAAATCATTGTTGGCGAAAGATTTGCTGGAGACGGTTCATAACATGGCAATGTGAAACAAAAGTGACCACAGTCTTACTGACAGCCTCAGGATCTTTGAGGTCCCCTGGCTGGGGCCCACGTATTCCTGCTTGAACATGATTTGAAATTTTACAAGACACTGTTGGTAGCCGAGCCCAAAGGAGTGCATGCTGTAGTATTCTAGCAGGGTTACTCAACACGCATTGTTGAGGGCTTGGTTGAAGACGTCATTCTGTGAAATGGTCGCTTCGAGATATAAATATTCCGAATGCACTGGGTTGGCGTACGTCGACAACATTCATGGCAGCAAAGCGCCTTCAACTTGTCCTTGACTCTACGCAAGTAAACGAAAAGCATACACTTCCGAAAAGTTTGCAAACCGTTCTCTGTCACTCTCCGCTCTCGTAAGAGCACTGCATACCAAATAGCAAATATGGGACTGGAACCACATAGATAACGTCACAAAGTCTCTATCGAGTTACACTCAAAACCCAAAAATCAAATCATACAGATGGAGGTTTATCAACAAATGAGGTACTATGAATGCAATAATAAAATAATAAAATTGTACAAACAACAAATCATTGGATTACACTAGATTCTATTCACAGGAATAGGAAATGCTAATTCCATCCTGTACAAATAGGTGGGTACGAAACATGACGCTACCCAAAGTCCGCACCGAGTCAAGACAAAGTGGTCGCAAGATGGCGAAACCCATGTGGTTGATTTGGAGCAGACGTGCTGTGAAAAGGCTAAATAGCGGTTTACGTCCAGGCCAGAAGAAAACTGCGGGCGCAAAACGGAAAAAACAATACGAGGAATCACTTTGTACACGATGAGGATAAAAAAGAATAAGCACACAGTTTGTGCATGACGTTATGCCACATTTCATGTCTATCGTAACATCTTCGGAGTTTGGGATGTTCCTTACCACCGAGGTTTTTCACTACGTCATGGGTGGATTGTAGGACGGAAATTGAACTTTTGTCACTGATGAGCGACTTACTTTAGTTCATATGCAACGCCTCAGAACATCGCTTCGGAAGCACACGGATGGGTAAACGCATAACCTTCGTACCTAGTTACTGCCGGACGACCATCTCCTGAGACAGGACCAGTCAGTTCCAGAAACGTCACGAACGTAAGCTGTTCAGGCACTGCTACAGGCTGGGAGATCTGCACAAACTGCGATCTAATGTTAGCCCCAGTGACATATATATAGATTATAGAGATCGAACTGCTTCTTATTGCACTTGGCTGTAGTCAACCAGGTTTTCACTTGCCTCCCGATGTGACAAAGCCATCTTTGAAATGGTGTGGTGCTCACCGTTTGTTTATTGATTTCCCACCGTTTCTGCACAACAGATGCCCAGATGCACCGTTGGGGTTTTGATGGGCGTGGTGGATTATGACGCCCTGGAAGAAACTTCGGCATCCCCTACCCGCAGCAGGCATAAATCAAGATATCTGTCTGGGTTTTTGTGCGCATACCAACCAAATTTCTTTTCCACAAGCGGATTTCAGCTGTATGAAGGACTATCGATCATCGTCCAAATGCTGTTGAGTTTCATCTTCAGCCTATCCGTTGGATAAAATGGTGGAATCAAAGTATCAACGGAATTATTTCTTCGCTTATTTTGAGAGGCTGGATAGGCATGTCCACGCAAGTGGAGAAGAACAAAGTTTGGATTTCCAACCCTTCGGATGTTGCATAATGAGTTCGATCAATACGTTAGAGTTCCTGCAAGTTATCAACAAACATGAAAAATATCATCAACGTACTCCAAATCAGGTATCCCGGTTAGGGGACCTGACTGTACGTCAGAGTATCCCTGTTGCATGATATGCGTGGACACAATATCAAAGTGCTGTCGTTATACCAGTCCCAGTGAAAGTAGACGCGGGATCTTTAAGTAGTCTGGTAAAGATGTGCTCCACAACTAGCTATTACGTGCATTAAATGATGATTTCAGTTATCCGGACTCACACGTGGCACGTTTTCTGTTTATTTACTCTACCTGGTCAACAGAAAGAAGAGTTGGGGAAAGATAGTATGTGTAACTAAACGTCATGCCCGTAATTATCTGGCGTTCACAGTTCACTAGCTTATGGATTGCACAGGGTAATCCCTTGGTTTGCTGACCTGATCTCAAAAGTCCCGAGCTCAAGAGCCCTGTCAGACCACTGACAAAAGAAACAGCCAGAAAGCATTATACGCTCAGCAGAGTGAACATTCTTGTGACCGGCACAATAGTAAAGGCTGTGTGAAATCGACGTGTTGATTGAGCCTTCACCACCAGAAGGGTAGCAGCCTATGTATACAATACTTTAGTTTGTGTGTTTGGGGCTGAGTACACCACCCAACCTACATATCAGGACAGATTTATTGTGAGGTACGTGTTACGTCAGTCTTTGCCCCCAGGGTGCTGCACAAACTTCCACAATATCAGTCTTACTGTAATCCAGCTAGTCAACGGTTACCGATACAATATAAGAGTACAGTTGCCGGGCCAACATGGAGTTAGGGATAATGGCTATTCGAATCCGAGATGAGTGTAAATTAAGAATTTCAGGGAAACTCTCCCTGGCTTTCTAGTAATGGCGCAATAAGCTACCAAATTTGTCATGCCATATGCCCGTTTTCTGGATTTCGAAAAAAGCACTTTTCCTTATGATTGGACAATGTGAGGCCCACCGGCCACGAAAACCTGGAGTGACGGTAAGACGCTGGGCGAGGGGTAAAATGGCGCTTTCGACAGTCGGTTGTCTTGAGGCTACATTTAGGCTACAGATAGGCGCACGGACGCACGGTCATGCACACTTCGTTGGCCTGACATCCAGCAAATCAGGGGGCGAGTAAGGTTAACGCTCGACCTTGCTACAGGCCAATCATTGAAGAGCAAATCCAAGGCTGAAAGTCGATTGGCTATCCAAGCGTTGACCAATGTCGCTAAGGCAACCAGTCGCTAAAAGTTAGCGGCCGCCTCAGTTGCTTCATTTTGCGCTTTCCGTGCGGTCTTGCTGACAATGCTCTCGCCCAAGGACGTTCAAGAGCCAGTTTTCTACCAATCTAGTCTCGGCACCTGGCCTCGGCCTTATATTTGATGTTCCATCGGAAAATGCAAGGCTACCTTCCCTTTACTCGGGCAGTGTTCCATGCCAAAATTCCGCGGTGCACTGGTCAGGGAAGGGTTTGCGTCATCACTCGAGTTCACAGTCAACCGATTCACAGTCCGAAAGCGATCCAGAATGTTCGGAGGCAACGGCGTTACGGGAGTCTAGTTTCTCGGAGACCGGGAAGCACAGCAACAGTTACGTGGTTCATCTCCCCTGTTTCTCCCCCGACATCACTGAGGCGATAAAGGCTTACAGACTGTGCCTACCACCATCCTCGGTGCTCGTTGCCTACGTGGACCACCCAAGAAGTGCCGTGATCTTCCTCTCCGACACTGAGGCATCGTCTCATATGCTCCAGAAGAGGGTCCTTGTCGCGTGTCTGGAAGCTTTGGAAGCAGATGGAGTGGCACGAGTTTACGTCGCTGTCAGAAAGTCACCGAATGAAGTCGGTACCTGTGCAACGAGCGCATTGTTGAAGACATTAATGTTTCTTGGTTTTGAGATGTTTAACCCCGGCTCAGTTTCGCCAGAACTCGCTTGTCTTACGATTGACTACCGTCTGCTCTTCACTAACTTACGCGAGTAGTAATGTAACGTGCATCCAATTTTCGTTTTGCTTCAGCCTTGCATCCTCGTTGATTTGCTTTTCCAATAGATTCTGCTAGTTCCGATTACCTCCTGCCTTTTCAGTTTCGTCCTGTTGGTCTGGATATGGTACATTATTTCACCCAGCTAAGCTGAAGTTAGTTGCTTGTTTTCATTCAGTTTCGTCCTGTTGGTCTGGATATGGTCATTTCACCCAGCTAAGCTGAAGTTATTTGCTTTGTCATAAAGCCGTTGATTCCGGCATGGTCATGCACATGTTGTCAGCATGGTAGGCATCCGATGTTTGGAACGAAGATTTGCCTAGCATTAATGGTCCAGATGGAGTATCTGCCAGTGACGGTCAGCGCTCGGTGTCCAACCATTCGACCTCCAGTCGTCTCGGTTTGCCTGCGTCCCGGCTAACAAGCAAGGGAGCTAATTTGGCTGTTAGGAACTGGAGTATTTCAAATAATACGAATATTCAGGCTGCGACGGCAGTGCGACTGACTGGGTGATGAGACGCGAGCGAGAAATTATCGTAGTGGTTATCCTTGCATCCGAAGATCGGCCCAGCTTAGTGTTCGTTTAATTTTCAGGTTCATAGGTTCCGTTTCGTGCCTCGATCGATCCTAGACTTCTCGGCACCGAACCTGGTTGGTATGAATTTCTGTTGAACCGGAAAGCTAGCATATCAGCTGGACAAGGGTTCCGCTATTCATTGTTGATCCGTATAGGAACATCTGTCATTTTCAACCTTTTAATGCAGTTATCCTCGAGGAAACTGGCAATGGTGGGAAAGGTCTAAAGTGCTCCAGACTAAGGTCGTTTCTTCGTGGAGCCTTTGACACTCAAAACTACTCGTTTTGCAACTAAATGAACTCGAATAGTAATCACTACACACATGACTCACTTGTTCAACGGGTGCAATGTGGATTACTGTGACATCGAGAGATACTGACTTACCGTACGTGAGTTCAGTCCATCCTTCAGCTGGTACTTCACTCGTGTGTCGTGATGTGTCCAAACCAATCAAGAGGAACTCACCGATGTGACGCGCCAGCAGCCCAGCCGTGATTACGACAAAACTCTTTGAAGTTGCGGTCTGCTAATAAATTCGGCTAAAAATCATAGGGGATTTTCGTCGTCGTTTTTCAGGGAGTTAATCCGGTATTTTAGAACCAGAAACCCGTCTCTCTTCGGTTTTGTGGCTTTGTTTTTCTGGCGAGGGATTCCAGTGGAAGACAACCTGTGCTTTCAAAAATATCTGATTGATGAGGACCTAAGTTTTGCGGAATTCCATTGAGGAAGAGTAATACACAGAACTATTTAGGCCTTTTGATCGTTCTTATTGACGTCGGCAACTGGTTCTTTGGGCTTTCATGAAGTCAACGCAATAACTCAACCACGGGGCGCTGACCCGCTGGGAAATTTTCTCTTCACAGGTCTGTTAGGGCTGTGAAAGATTTTGAAATTCTACCATAACATTTAGCTTTAAACAGGCTTGGTAATACTGATATTATATTGTTACAAATGTCTGCCTCTTCAAACTCGGTAGTATACGCGATGTGAAGTCGAGGAGGTAACTTATCCCGTAGTGAACAGCTTGTGTAACCCGTGATAGGACGATGAAGTTGACGCAGCCCCTGGAGATGAGGTGTTTGTCACTTGGGAGTGCAGCTTAACGTCCACTAGGCTGGACCGATTTCAGACTTCTTGCGAGTGAGTGTGATTGCTGAGGCTAACATACGCTGGTGATTGAAATCACAATTACGACTTTTAGCCAAAATTATGTTTGTACTAATGGATACCAGAGCAAAGATTTCACGGATCTTACAGCCACCTGTCTAATCAAACGATACGTGAGACTGTGATAGTTCAGGGTTAGTTAGCCAAAACATTCAACCTATCAAACTCCAGGTTTGCTAGTCGTTATTATCTGTTTATCGAACGACCGCACATATCACTGATTTTGTGTTCGATGTGAAACTGATGCCAGAGTTATCCAACAACAGCTGATCCCAATCCTGACGGACTGTCCTGTTACAACAAGTGAAGAGTTCGTTAGGTGAGAATAAAGTATCACAAATTGTTATTAGGTATTGTATCCAAAAGCCAAACCTTCACTGCATGAACGATTCTTCGTCAAGCTGGATAAGCTGACTACTAGCTGCACCATACTTGCCAATGAAGCGGGTAGCGTCCTGTCATTGTTAAAGATTCAGGCTGACTACAGACTCATTAATGCTTAACTCAACTGGCGGTTCATCACTTATTCATTCAGCAACAGTAGCGTCATTATTTCAGTCTCTCACAGCGGCTAGCACAACGAGACAGGGCATGAGAGTTCGTCCAAAAAGACCAACTCCGCATAGAATTCAACAGACTGAAATCGAGTCTCTATTCACCACGACGAGCGACGAACTAAAAATCTAAAAGTAATACTGAGTCAGACAAGACTATCAGACCAACGAGCCGAGAAATAGAAGTCATTGTGGGGTCAAGCGAACGAGGGTTGTGGCGGGGGAACTGGAGAAGTCAAGTCTCAGGGTTACCCAGACATGCACCAATCAGGCAACAGGCTAGCCGACAAGCCAACAGGAATGCTGATCCCAACGATCAGTGAGCAGCTGAGGTTGGCCTGAGAATTTAGACCCTATTTCAAGCCATACGCACAAAACATCCACACACTTTCAATCACAGCGCACTGATGATGTCACCTCGATTAGTGATGGAACGTTTGAAACCGAATTGATCAGCGCAGTACACATATCAAAGACCATGAGATGCTACCTTTCGTTTAAGATTTATTTGACGTAATAGCAGTCAGCTGCTTTTAGCATTCTGTTATAATGTGACTTCCTGATGGGATTGATTTGCTTTAGAATTATGGATCTAAATGTTTTCTCTATTTTTAGACCGCTGCAAGCAACATGTAGTCTTTGGGTTATGTGGATAACCTATTAATTATAGCTGACTTGGGAATTCTGATTGGCTCAACTGCCCTTCTCAGTTCTGAGTTCGCTTCATCAACTTAACAGTTTAATTAGTCTCCGTAGTGAGTAATACTCATAAAATTTGTACGTCGTCATCAAAAGTGAAGTGAAAAATACAATAGCAAAAAGGTCTTTTCCATAAATGCATGAAAACAGGACTAAAAAATCAGCCAAAAAACGAGACCACTTGTTTCATAGTAACCCATTCTACACTAAAGTACGAAGCATCGCATTATCATTATTATCAAGTTGACTAAATTAATGTACCTTAACTGCCTCGAAATTCCAGTTTGTCTGCTCTATATTCGATGTATCATCAACACAAGTACAAATTAAACTTCCAGAACAACCTCACATCATGATGTGCCAAATACATCTTATTTATTCAAATTTGAGGACTTAACTATGAGCATTTAATGTGGAATGTACGTAGCATAGTTTCCTTTGTCTGATATAAGTAGTATGGGGAGCCTGACCAAAACTCGCAGACAGTTCCTGCCAGTTTTGCTCTGTATTAGGCCTAATAGGATTTTGAGGAATATTATTATGTCCCTTATGTCAAAAAAAAAGAAATTCTATTGAACGTCTTCGCAGTGGAACCTCTAGACAGCCTGTATTGAATCTAACTTGACCTCATGATGGTTCTTCCATTCATTTGCCTATTGCGCCTATGCACTTTTGACTCTCCACTCGGTTGGCTTATCTGTACACGTCACTCACCTTGCTGCAAAAAACGCCCCGTCCGACACTTGCGTATTATTATGTGTCTGTATTTGCACAGCTGACCTTACCTATGCGTGTTCATGTCCCACTTGCTGATCCTGTCTTGAATTTTTTTCTCACGAGTTCCGTGTGATCGCACCGCCAATCAGAATCAAGAAACCGTCGTCGGAAGGGACGACCGCAACCCACACTATTGAGCCAATATTCCGCTCGCCATTGTTTGGTCTGCGAACGTTGACACAGTGTCGGGCTGTGACAGACTTGTGCACTTGTCGACGCTACGGTCGTGGACAGTTGAGGCTTGTTGTATACCCTTGCGTACATAGTACCGCAGAATTCCGAACCCAATTATTCCTTTTGCTATTCGGAGTTGTCGAACCAACGTGTCACCCAAAGTTCCGCCGAACCCAATTATTCCTTTTGCTATTCGGGATTGTCGAACCAACTTGTCACCCAAAGTTCCGTATTAGGACAATCAACAGTCTGCATGTTTTATATTCTCTGGAAGGATATCAGTATGCTGGTGCTTACATCAAGCCTCCAGTTTCATAAATTTCAACATGAATATGAGCTCAAGAAACGAGAACTTAGTGTCTATAATTTAATTGACGTAACCACCTCGTCATAGAGGGTCAAAAATCAGCTGCCAAAGCACACTGCTATACAGTTATCTGTGTTCAACGACCTAGAACCCTACCAAACTGTCTATACCACACATGTGGGTTCAGATTAGCTCCTCGCTTCCAAACCGGGTAGTTTGGTTTTTGGCAAACAACCCGAAAGCCGACTCACTGGCTAGTTATATGCAACACAAGACCTTATGACGGCGATATCTTATGGAAAGTCTAAAGTCAAAACACAGCGTAATAGAATAAGATGTTATTATCCAAGGTTTCGTATGCTGTGACCAAACCTTATCATGGATTTATACAATTAATTTAACACGAGTCAAACGCAGCGCTGTTTGATTCCGCTATCCTCTCTTCTGATAGGTGTGTGCCTGGGGTCAGTTGGCAGCCAGATGCGATCAGCGTGCGTGGGTGTGTTAGCTCAGTGTGCGTACACGTATGATTATGTGCACTTTGGCTGGCATGTGCCTCAATTTGGTTGTGCTGTTTGCGTCATTGTTGTGATTTCTGTTTGACCCCCTGGTCTCTATGCCTACTAAGATGCGCGGTAAGTCCAAGCCAGGTCACTACAGCTGACGTAGTTCGGCTTTCCGTTAATTTCCGGTACTTCAGCGCACTCCCGTTCCACGTGTGATGTGAATACTGCTAGAGTGC